AAACAGCTGATTGGTCCTGAAATGTCACTTCTCTCCGACTGCGATCTCACATTCCACAAAATTGAATAGAAGTGACATTTCAGGACCGATCAGCTGTTCCAGGGCAGATCGGTTTTCCTGCACATACCATCTGCGATGCCGATCTGCCCTGGAACAGCTGAGAAAGCGTTGGAATGCTTTTCCTTTTGCCGGTCACACATTCCACCGCCGAAAAACTGGGCGGGATTACGTTAAAATGTGTGACCATGTGACCGGTCACACATTCCAACCCAGTCACAATTTTTGATAGAACACCGGGATCCTTCTGATTGCTAGCTCTTTGGCCAATCAGCCCCTTGGATGCAGGAATCTGTTAGACTTCCTCCCTTCGCTCCCTAAGGCCCGGTTCACACCTGGGCGTTTTGTAGCGCGTTCCTACGCTCTGCAAAATGCTCAAACACCGAAATCCCATTATTTCCTATGGGCATGGTTCACACCTGGGCGTATTACAGGCCGTATGAACGCGCTACAAAACATCCTACGCCCAAAGAAGTACAGGAGCTTCTTTGGGGCGTATTTGCCGCGCGTATCCATTGGGATACAGCCAGATAGCCCTCGGAAATGCGTGTTTGTTGCGTGTTTTTTAACCGTGAAACGCCCGCAACAGGAAACGCGCGACAAACGCACGTATTGGATACGCCTAGGTGTGAACCCAGCCTTAGTGTATGGCCAGCTCAACGATTTCCAAATCAAGGACTGTTCCTGGAAAAAAGTCCCCAGCCGTGCCTTGCGATGACTGCATGTGCTGGCACTGGTGAAACTTGCTGGACCAGTGTTGCAGGGTGGCAGGGTGTACCTGTGCCCAGGCAGTGTGACTCTTCCCCCATCTCACATGCTGGCAGAGGTGTCTGGCTCCTGATTTACAGGTTTTATGAGTCAGCCACCATCTCATAACATCCAATTTATAGGACCTGTCACCTTTTCAAGTTACAGCAGCTGGTGGGAGAGCATGTATAAAGGCAGGATAAGCGGACGGATGCACTAGCACCCCTAGATGGCGCTGATGAGTATAGGAAATTCCTATAACTTTTTGACCTCCTGCTGTCTGGCCGGACGGCGGATGCCTAAATGAGGGTGGGTGTTTTTAGACGTCCTTTCCTGCTACCGCTCATCCATCGGCATTTTAAACAGTCGGCGATGGCTGTTTACATGCAAGCGTTTGGGCGGCTATAGATTTGCGGCGAATCAGCACTCTCCCAGCAGCTGATCTCCGCTCCCATCACTGGACCCTGAAGTATTGTGTATTACATCACTTCCGGTGTCACTCTGTCCAGAGGCCTCCCGAGGCCGGGTGTCACCCGTAGCGGAGACCGGGTGACACCCCGCAGTGACGTCATCGTGCACGCTCGGTCATCTAATTGATTGACATCTTGGTGATGGACGCCGGCAGAGAGAGGAGGGGACGTTCACCCGGCGGGATGAGGTATGCCGCCGGGTCCCCTCCTCTCTCCTGACACTGTCGGGCTCTCGGTCCATGACTGAGTGCCCGACTTTTAGAGGGGGTGACACCAAAATGACTGTCAGTCATTTTGGTGTCACCCCTCCAATGGTGTCACCCGGTGCAGGGACGCAACCACCTTGTGACGCCACTGACTCTGTCATTTCTCCTGCTGCTGTAGCCAGAGAAGAGGCTGGGGAAGCAGATCTCTGCTTCATCAGCTTCTTTGGGCGTCAGCAGGTGACATTAGGAGGCTAATAGACCTCTGATGTCTTAAAGAGGGCCTGTCACTGTATCTGTGATATCACATTGGGGGTTTGTTAGCCTCCATGTGATAGCAATAAAGTGCAAAACAAGTTTAAAACATTAAAGTCACATATTAAAAAAAAGCTAACTTTTTTTAAAGGCCCCCCCCACACACACAAACGCAACATGTGTCGGTTGCGACTACATGCGAAAATGACGATTGCACCGCACATTTTTTATATCACCGCGAACGTCGGAGCACGAGCAATCATTCTCGGGCCACCAATCACTGATAACACTAAACTGATGAGCGGAAAAAGCTTTTAAAGAGTCGCCTAGGGCCAATTTTCTGTACGGTAGTTTTTTGCAATTTCGCAAGCGCACGCAATTTTAAGGCTTGACATGTTTGGTGTTTATTTACCCGAAGTGACCCCGTCTTTTATGTTTTATCAAACATTTGGGTAATAATAAATGTTTTATAACATAACGTAGGAAAAACTGTTTTTTTTTCCGGTACTTTTTTCATTATATAGTAAAAATTAAAACCCCCAGTGGTGATTAAATACCACCAAGAGAAAGCTCTATCTGTCCCCAAAAAAGGGTATAAAATTCATTTCAGTACAGCGTTGCGTGACGGAATAAATGTCAATCAAAGTACCGCAGCGCTGAATACTGAAAAATGGTCGGGACAGGAAGGGGGTGTAGCGCCCCGGTCTTCAAGGGGTTAATAAAGTGTGTGTCTGGGTAAGATTAAAAAAAAGGAAAATAAAACATTCGATCCATCTCTGTAAGGCCTCATTCACACGAGAAAGGCCGCCACGTACAGCTCTTTTATTGTTAACTGATTATTTTTATATATAACAATGAAATGCACAAAAACAAATAAAAAAAAATGTGTATTATCTTTTTTAATTTTTTATGTTACTTTTTGTTTGTATTATTATTTACTGTAAAAAAAAAAAAAAAAAAAAACCCAAA